TTCTGCTAAGCACCTTTTATCTTTATCACCTTTCTCTTTGTTCTTTATTGTTCTCCTTCTTCCCAAGACTGCACTCTTTTAGGTGTAATTTCTGATCCAATTGACCATGCCCTTTTGCTTTACTCCTCTGCCAATATTATTGTTATTAATGACTTTACATGCTCCTAACACAAACTTTATTCCTCTGCTGGCTAAAGCTTATAACTTCTGCATTTCTCAATCTCTTACTCAGACTTAACTTTAAATTTATTAGTATTGAAAATATATAACTTAATATCTGTCATTCCTATAGCAATATATTTTTCTTTAATTTTTTTTTATTTATTTATTCTTTTTTATTTTTTCATTTTATTTGATTTTATAATTTTATTTTTTAATTTTTTTTTCTATTAATTATATATATATTTATTATTGTTATTGTTTGTATTTATCTTTTATATAAAGGTGTCTTAGTTACTGTGCTTTACTTACTTATCTTACCTGTAACTTACTATATCTATCTAAACCTCTGGCATGGTGTTCTGGCATGTGTGTGTGTCTGTCTAATCTTTTAAGTGCTTCTGCTAAGCACCTTTTATCTTTATCACCTTTCTCTTTGTTCTTTATTGTTCTCCTTCTTCCCAACACTGCACTCTTTTAGGTGTAATTACTGATCAAATTGACCATGCCCTTTTGCTTTACTCCTCTGCCAATATTGTTGTTATTGGTGACTTTACATGCTCTTAACACAACTGACTCTGCTGGCACTAAAGCTTATAACTTCTGCATTTCTCAATCTCTTACTCAGATAGTTAACTTTGTGACTTGTTTTCCTGACAACCCTAATCATTTATCTCAACTCCTTGATTTGTGTCTTATCTTTGACCCTATCTTGTGTTCAGTTTCTTCTTTTTCTTCCTTAGATGGTTCTGACCATGAAATGGTCTCTATAAATCTTTCATCTTGTACTTCTTCTTCAGACGCACCCTATCATCGCACTACTTACTACTACCCTAAAGCTGACAAGGATTCTGTTTGTGATTTTTTTCATGATGGTTCTTAGTCTGATGTCTTTTCTCTATCAGCTGATAAATGTGCCTTCTATGTAACCTCTTGAATTCAGGCAGGAACAGAAGCTTTTATTCCTTCTCCTCAGTTACATCAGTTACTTTTATTCCTTCTCCTCATTCTACTCCATTGTTTTCACCTTCTTATGCAACTGCTATATCTAATCATAACCATTTTTTTCATCTTTTTCAAAAGAATAACTCTCTTGAGAACAAACAACTGTTTATTATTGCAAAAAATCTATGTAAAAAAGTGCTGTCTGATGCTAAGCTCCATTGTTCTCAGTTCACTAATATCTCAGTAGTTGGGCTCTAGAGACTTTTGGAGGATCTTCAACAGCGTTTAACATTCTTTCTCTCATTCATGGGACTAGTCCTATTACTTCTCCTAAGGATAAGCAGAACTATTTGCAAAGATTTATTCTAATTAAACTCTTGAATCTTATGGCCTTTTTCTTCCTTCCATTCCAATTAAACAGGTTAACCCATTATTAGACAATCACCAGCTTCTGTTGCTAAAGACATATCTCAATTAAACTCTTTTATGGCTTGCGTTTCAGACAACATTCCTGTCAAAAAAAATTGTTCTCCAGAACTCTCTTCAATTCTATCTAAGCTATTTAATAAGTGCTTGACTGAGTCTTGTTTTCCTGCCAACTGGAAAATGGCATCGTGGTATAAAATTTTAAAAACTCTGGAGAACATTCTAGTTCCTCTAATTATCCTCCGATTAAAAAAAATCCAAAAATCTTCTTTCTGCTATTAGCAAGGTCTTTGAGTCTTTGATGAACAAATTTCTCATATCCCACCTTGAGTTAAATAACTTACTGTCAGACAATCAATATGGTTTCTGATCCTCTTACTCTAAGGCTGACTTGCTAACTGCTGTGACTGAAAGATTTTATTGTGCATTAGATGGAGGCAGAGAGGCTAGAGCTATTGCTCTTGACAAAATTTAGCATGCTTGTCTTCATGATAAGCTTGCTTTATTTGGTGTATCTGGGAAAGATTTTATAATAATCAAATTGTTTCTTTCTAACCGCTTTATTAAAATCATCATTGATTGTCAACACTCTTCTTTATTTCCAATAACTTTCAAGGTTCTATCTATGGTCCTGTTTTGTTTCTTATCTACATTAATGATCTTTCTGACAACCTTACATCTAAAATAGATTTTTTTGCTGATGACTCAATTTATAATCTTGTCTTGACAAAAAGTTTTCTCTTTTCGATCACTTACTACAGGCAGCCGATCTTGAATCTTATTTCACTTCTGTAACAGATTGGGGCTTGCAGTGGTTTGTAAATTTTAACTTAAACAATTTTAACAAAACTCAACAAAATTTACAGCAAACAACTATTGCAATACTGTTGACATTGTTTGACATAATGTTGACATTATGAATGGCATCCCTCTCACTAATTCCTCCTTTTTACCTCTTTTTGGATTATAGTTCACTACTGACCTTTTATAGAAATCATAAATAATCTAGCATCTGCTAAGTTTTTATTCTCTTTATCATATTCCCAATTTTCTTACTCCAGATTTCATTCTAAACCTCTACAAATCTCTTATTTGTCTCTGTATGGAATGTTGCTGTCATATTTAGGCTGGTTTTTCTAATGATCCTCTTTCTCTTCTAAACAAGATCTAAAAATACATTTTAAACGTAGTTGGACCCAGTCTATCTGCTAAGCTTGAGCCTCTCTCCCATTGTCGCAAAGTTGCATCTCTTTCTCTTTTCTACAATTACAATCATAGATTTTTGTCTTGTTATTTACCTTTATTTATATCTTTTAACCTTATTTTTCCATTTTTTTAAAATCTTATATCTTTAAAATGAGTTTTTGATTTTGCTTTCTTCGATTTTTATTTTTATTCCCTTTTGACTGTAAAATAAACAAATCTGCCATCGTCATGGTGTTGTTACAATAATGAGTTAGAGACGATTGACAGTCTAACACAAGCTTTTTCTTAACATATTTCAAAGATGTCAAGCAAAGAAACTTTTATGATGAAATCAGATTGACGTTACCAATATTTATTAAAAGTAACCTACAAATTCTGTAGCTAGTTAAATTTTTATTTTTATTTTGTCATTTTTCTAAATAAATTTAAGCTATCCAGATAATAAAGATATGTCTTATTTAATCTTGCATAATATTGTGTTAATCTTGCATAATAAATAGTAAGAGTGAAGACTAGTTCTTTCAGCTAACTTATCAATTTATATAATGCCTGTTATGTCAGTGTCAGGTGTGTTTTGTATAATGCCTATTATGTTAGAATCAGATGTGTTTTGTATAATATCTGTTATGTCAGTGCTAAGTGTATTTCATATAATACCTGTTATATCAGTGGTGTATTTTATATGATATCTGTTGTATCACAAACATTATTCTCTTCTTTTTACTTCTATTTTTTTTTTTTTTTTTTTTTTCCTCCAGTTTTTAATGTATAATTCTTTAATTAAGTTTGCTATATTTGAAAATTGAGTTTCAGAAGGTTGATAAAGAGAATTATCTACTTTGTACTCAAAGGTTGATAAAGATAGATGTACTCAAAGTAGATAAGTCTCTGTTATCTAAAACAGTCAATCTTGCATTTTGTAATGTTATTTTGTTGTTGCTGAATTCATTAAAGTCCTTTATTACACCACATTATTTAATCTTATAAGGGATCATTCATAAATTACACAAAGCAAAATATATTTAAAAAACAGAAGTAGGAAATATTAAGCTCTTTTACGCTTTTTCATTAAACTTAATGCACTAATTTAATTTTTTATTTAAATTAAGACTCTGCGAGGAAAATCTTTTTTGTTTTGTTTATTGTGAAAGATTGCGTTACATAATTTATGACGATCCCTAATACAATTTCTAAAAAAAGATTTATCTATATGTTATGCTTTATATTTCATGTAGTTAAGTTTTACTTTTGATATGTTTGTTATATATTTGCATGTCTATATGTGCTAGAGCTAAAGCTGGAATATTGTTTGCTAAAGCTGGATTATTTGGTTTTGTTTGGTTTTTGTAGCGTAGTCCAGTTATTGCAATATTAATTAGCATAATGTAAAGTTCAGGCAAAGGGATCTGTTGCAAAGACACACCTCTGACAAGTTGCATTAGTGCAGGTTTGAGGTTCCCCAAAACATGATTGGTAATTACAGTGCATTCGTAAAAATGGAGATCACCCAATTTTAAATAGTTGATTAGAATTAACTAGTGAATAATAGTTGACCCCCTAATTAGAATTGGTTATTACAGCACTAACATTTTACCTCTTCAACCTCTTATTTTCAGCACCTTATATATTCAAAGCATCTCTTTTATACATATTTTTAAAGTTTTTTTGTTTTTTTTTTTTTTGTTGCACAAGTGATATAGTTTTATTTAAACTTTATACAAGTTATTTTAATATTTCCATGACAAGTATTAAAATATTACTGTATATTACCAGAATTGAAGAATTCAAAAAAAGTTCCAAAGCACTGATGTTTGAAAAAAAGTTAAAAAGGTTTTTAAGTATGAACGAACATTTACCTGTAAAACATACAACTTTAATTGAACAAGTGATAATACCTTGCTTGAGCAGCAACCATGTTTATATTTATTAGTGATCATATTGCTTGCAGAAATTAGAAATAATTGTAACCTTGAAACAGTGAGACAGAGGCTCAAACTTGGCAGCAGAAGGACCAACAGCATTTCAATGTGATTTCTACATTGTTTCATTTCCTAAACCATTGCAATATATACAGAGTATTCTTGAAATGAATAAATAATCTGTACAACCAGGCTGAATAAATTTCAAAAAAAAGAAAAAAAAATTATTTAAAATTTAGTAAAAAATATGTGTGTATGTATGTATGTGTGCATGTAGTATGTATATATGTATGTATGTAATCTAAAGTTCTTTCTATTGATATGAAATCTAATTATTTTTAACAGTAAAAATATTGCTGAGCAAAATGTTCTTAAAGAAGAATACGCACAGCAACGACAAAATATTATTTTGAGTTTAAGTAAGTTATTTTTTATTTTACTTTTTTAGTAAAGGGTTCTCTATAAATTTTTTAGTAAAGGGTTGTTTACAAGATTTTTCTTACAATGAAAACATCAAGTCAGCAAAAAAAAAAAAAGAATGTGGGTGAGTGTAGATAGATCAAAAAAAAAAAGGAAGAAAAAAAATTTTTTTTTAAAAGTAATCCATAATTTTTTGATAAAAATAGTCATCTATAAAATTAAAAAAACATTTAGGGGGTAATTTTAATATTATTTTAGGGGGTACAGTCTTCTCTGTTTGAAATTTAATGCCATCGCACAAAAAAGTGTTGACAGGATGGATATTTTTAAGTTAGCCTGCACGATTTAAAAAATTCTTTTTTTCCTGCTATTTAGATTAAAACAAAAATAGCGAAAATAATGCTTTGAATAAATACAAGTTAAAATAATTTTAAAAAAACTGGTAAAAAAAAAGCCTTTTTTCATAAAAGTTGAACAAATGAACAAAAAGGTTTTGTTGTAATTTAAAATAAAACTCTTTTATTTTTTTAGCAAGCACTTTTTTAAGTGCTTGCTAAAGTATTTGTGGGTGTGTGGGAGAGCACAAAAAGACTTGAGCGCAAAAGCACTGGCTAAATGGAGAAGACTGGGTACATACGTTGCAAAGGGATGTATATATGGGTCAAATTATAACTTTCTAACATGCTTTATGGACAAAATCTTTGTTGTAAAAGTGATTTTATTTAGTTTTTAAACTTTTTTTATTTTCAGTTAAATTTGTTTTTTATTTATTATTTAGTTAACCATGGTTACTATGAACAAGCTGCAACTATTGGTGAAAAATATGAAGATTTTATAATGTTAATTTTGTTGTGCGAAAAAACCAATGATTCTTATAGATTGAATCGATACAAATCAATGTTTTTAAGCCAAGTTTGACCTTTTTTTAAAAGTTTTTTTATATTGCAATCCTTCTTTATTATCTTTATTATTATTTTTTCTTATTTTATTTTATTTATTTATTTTATATATAGGGTTTTGAGAGTGAACTTTACAGATATTATGTGGAAAAAGGTATCATTTCAAGTTTTAAATATACTAGCAAACATGTAAACGCAGATGCACTGCAAAGAACTCTATTTATTTGTTCATTTAACATCATCTTTTTAAATAAATCTTTCACATATTGGTTTGTGTTAAAATAACATTTACACACTTGTTTCCAAGGTTATTGGGAAAAACTTTTGGTTGCTAACGTAAAATCTCAAGAACTTGATAATTTTCTATCTTCACACAGTTATTTAAATTGGTTGCACTATATTGATATAGGAGAATATTACATGGTGAGGTTTTATTTCAACATGCTTTAGTTTTTTTATATATTTGTTTAACTTTGATTTTTGTTATTTTTTTTAACTTTTATTGTTTGTTTTATATTTACTTTTATTTTAAGGCATCTGAAATTTTGGGCAAACTTGCAAGTGAAGAATCCGAATATGCTGCACGAAAGAAAGTAATTAATTTCTTTGTTTGATATTGTTGTTATTTTTTTTTTTTTTAATTTTTTTGTTAATGTTTACAATTATATATCTTGTTACAAATACTGTAACAAGTTTAACTGGCTGATTACAAAAACTGATAAAAATTTATCAGCTGTTGTAAAAAAGCTGTTTTTTCATTTACCTTGACATAATAATAGTAAAATACAAAAAACAGTAAATAAATAAAAGTTCTAATTATAAATAATTTTATAAAATGATTTAAATTTAACAAATGATTTAAATTTGAAAAGTATTAAGGTACTAAGATCAAATAAACACAGCAGGTTATTTTCTCTTCAGAAGTATGAGTGTGTCATTGAAAAAGGTTAACACTAGTCTCTTTTTTCTCTTGTCAGTGTCATGATGTAAATCATGTTGTATTTCAGCAACTATATTTAAATCTTGCTACTAAAAAGAGTTTAAAATGGTTTGTGAAAACACCCATATATTTTTCTGAAGATAAAATATATCAAAATATATTTTTCTGAGAACATAAGATAAAAGTAATTACAGTGATAAAAAATTTTAAACTAATTCAAAAAAAAAAAAAAAAAAAAAATGTAACAACAATATATGTAACAATTCCAAAAAAAAAACAGTTAAAAATTAAAAAACGGTACAAAACTGTAAATGTTAAAAAATATGTTGTTGCTGCTAAAAAATAAATATGTTGTTGTTGCTAAAAAATAAATATGTTGTTGTTGCTAAAATGCTAAAAAATATGTTGTTGTTGGACAAAGTAATGTAGTATAATATCAGACCAATAACTTAAAAATTAATTGTTAGAAATTGATAGAATAACATAAAAATAATTTGCAAAAATAGTAACATAAAATCTACTAAAACCATGAATTAGAATTGTTTCTTTAGATGCAAATCTTTGTATAATAAATAAATATAAGTGTTTGCTAATGAAAAATGTAAACAGCAATTAGAATTGTTAATTTATACTAATAAATTAGGAAACTAAACCTGCATTAATAAAACGCTATATGTATAGTTCACATGTATAAGCAGGTGAAATGCATATTACATCATATCTGCTTGTGGTAAAATGTGTAAGTATAATGTAATTTGTATACGTATGATTACATAGCAAAATACATACTATAAATGCAAATATAAGAAGCCTTAATATTTTTTTCAAGGTTTTGTTAGTGCTTTCTAACCTTGCAAAAATGTCTTCAGTTGAATCAGATTTATCAGCTATTGGGAATGAGATAAGAGGTATTTAATTGTTTTTTTTTTTAATAAATATTTTCAAGAGTTGCATAATTAGATTTTTTTGAAATGAAATATTTTTAAAAGTTTAAAGATGTTTATATTTTTTAGCTTCTAGGTGTTTTTTGGTCCTTTTAGTAGTAGTAGTAGTAGTAATAGTAGTATATATTTGTTACAACAAAAGTAAATTCCAAATGCTTTTTAATTATTTTGCCATTTGTTTTCCCTTCACATCAATTTATTTATAAAATGATATTAAGGATACACACTTACAAAACCTGTTTTCATTAATTTTTTCAGTTTATAAATAACATTAGAAATAACTGCAAAAGAATACAGAAAAGTTTGAAAATTAGTAAAAATCAGAGAAAAATATATTTATTTAAAAATATATATATATATATATATATATATATATGTATATATATATTATGTTATTTGCCTCCCTAAAGCTGAGAGTATCACTACAGTCGGACAGGCTACATCATTGTGGTTACAACCCTCTATTAACTCTTTAACTCCAAAATGCAAGCTTTTGAAGGTCACTTCACTGTAAAAAAAAAATTGACCAGAGTACTACCAGTGCTTTGGTGGGGATCGAATTCCGAACTTCTCGCTTATGAATCAAGTACTCTGCCACTACTACATTATAGAGTTAAAATCAGTGCAACTATTTCATCAACTGTTGTAATCAATCATTACATCATCATCAATCATCACATCATCAAGTATTTTGCATTTAAATTATGGCCCAAAGGTCTTGTTGAATTGACTTTTAAATAAATTAATATTGATTTTTGATATTTGTCTTTTTTGGAATGCTTTTTGGCATGATATATTTTACTATTTTGACTTTTTCCTCTAAATCCAAAATGGTGCTACCATTTTAAAAACTTTGAGGAAAGGTGCTACCTTTCCTCAAAGTTTTTGATTATCAATAAAAAAACTTTGAGGAAAGTTTTTTTATCAGAAATGAAACATTTTTTCATTTCTGATAAATAATTATTTTAGAACTAATTTATCAATTGATTTTTTTAAAAACAAATAGTTTGCTTTTTTAAATTTTAAAATGCACATTTTTTTAAAAACAAAAGTTTGCTTTTTTAAATTTTAAAATGCACATTTTTTAAAAAACAAAAGTTTGCTTTTTTAAATTTTAAAATGCACTTTACATTTTTCAAATTAATTAATAAATATTTTCGTAAAATTAATTTGAACTTAAAATGAAAAAACTTTACCCAAAACCAGTTTATTTAAAGGTTTTAAAAACTTGATTTTTGTTATGTTTAAGTTGATTTGTTGTGAAATGCTACTTTGGTGTACATTTAGGTTTCTTCTTTTTTTTTCTTTTTCTTTTTAATTTTTTTTTTTTTTTATAAAGTTATAAGGAGGTTAAAGGCTTTAAAAACTTGATTTTTGTTATGTTTAAGTTGATTTGTTGTGAAATGCTACTTTGGTGTACATTTAGGTTTCTTCTTTTTCAAAATATAACTGTTTAAAGTAGATAACATTGTAATATTCAAAACAAAAAAATTTGTTTTGAATATTACAATGTAATCTACTTTAAACAGTTATAGAAAACTATTTAATACCCCTGTTCATGCTGACAATAAAACGTATCTTTATTTCAACAGAGTTAAGTTTTTGTTTTAAAAAGCTATAAAATAACTGTGTTATTTTATAGCTTTTTACAAGTTTTTTCTATATAAAGAGCTTTTGTTAATATAAAACAACTTCCTGTTTTATTGCCATCTTGTACAATTTATAACATTGATAATTTAAATTGCATTTATAATAAAATGAATTAAAAAAATAAAATATTTTTAAATAATTAATTAAAACATTATCATAAAACTTTAAACTTCATATTTGCGCAAAAACATGCTATATCCATAGACTAAACAGTTAAGATCAAAGCACCACGTTTACACGTTACCACGTTTACATTTTTTGATTTAATAACTCATTATATTTTCATGAGTTTTCATAAATATATATATAAATTATTTTTATTTTTTTTATTTTTTAAACAGAAGTAGATTTTTTTTTTTTTTTAATTTAAATTTTTTATAATTTTATGTTTTTTAATTAAATATATATAATTTGGTTTAATGTTTGCAGTAATCACTGGTTTAATGTTTGCAATAGAATGTTTCTGCTTTTAAAACTGTTTTCAAGAAACAAGAAATAATGGCGCCTTTACAAAAACTATTTGACTACTCAAAATGTTTACGATTTAAATAAAACTTTCTTTCTCACTTGTACTTTTGAATTTGATATTGTTACTGTAGAATGTTTGACTTTCACAAATCTTACTCGCTATGCCAATAATTGCTCGCTATGCCATTACAGGCATCGCCGCAATTAAATTTATAATTATTGGCATGTGTTAAAATTCTTTTGAAATTTTTTTTTTTTAATTTCAAGTAGATTTTGTCTTTTTAAAGTTCCTAAAAAACAACTTATAGAAAATGTTTAATCTTGATATCTCTTTGAATGAAAATGATAAAAAAAATGGTATTGCATTTTTTATATTCTATTCAAGATTTCTTGTTAAAATAATTTTTAGTAAAAAGTTTATTATGTGTTAAAAACATATAAGATATAAATAGAAACATTGCTAACAACATATAAGATATAAATAGAAACATTTGTATAGCTAACTTTTGTGAGTCTTTGAGTATATTAGGTAAATTTAATAGTTGAGTAATTTAACTGTAGTAACTTAACTGGTTGTTATAGTAACTGGTTGTTTTGATTTAGTTTATAGGTAAATTTACTGTGATGTACTTTATTCATTAAGTAAATCAATCTAAATTAAACTTTAGAATAGAAGTAGGATATTATTGGCTTCCATGCAGAGGTTTAAAGTAATTTAAATTCAAAAGCCTTTCATGTTGAATGAAAATCTCTGCGCAAGAGAGCAAATAATCTTTCTATTTAAAAGATAAATTTACCATGGCGTACTTTATGACCCTGTGATCTACTTTATAAAAACTTTTAAAAATTTAAAATAAATCATTTTATACTTTTTAAGAATAGACAAATAAAAAAAAGCTGAATTAAAAAAGAAAAAATAACACACACAAAAAAAAAATCACAAAAATATTTTTTTCAAGAAAAAACTATTCGTGAAGATGTGAAAACCAATGGCGGTTGCAATTAATTCCAGCTCTGGTATTTGCTTTTTGTTGAAATAAAATAATCTTAATCAAATGAAATAAAATAATCTCATTCTAATAAGTTAAATTAGTATTAAGTAAATATCTTTACTTGTTAAATACATTTAATTTAAATTTTTTTCTTCAGTCTTTGCACTTTAGCATTTGTCAAGCCTTAGCCTGTCAACATCTGTCCAGCTTTAGCCTGTCAACATTTGTCAAGCCTTAGCCTGTCAATATTTGTGTTAAAATTCAATTCTACATTGAAATTTTTTTATCAATAGGTTTGAAACGTGACTAAAAAAATTATTTGCATGTTAAAAAATTGCATATCAACAAAATTTTTACAGACTCTTAAGACTCCTAGCAAAAAAAGGAATCTGGTCTCTAACTCTTTTGCTCTTAACTCATTAGAAACCTATATATTAAGCTTCTATTTACTGTCCTTAAATCATTTGAAACAGATTTATGATCTAGCTTTATATACATACATTGCTGATATGCCTATCTTACTAGACATTATTTATAATTTTTAGATATTACCTTTTTCACTAATTGTATGACTAATTAAATTTGCTACATTTAAATTACACAACGCTCGTTTATTTGATATTTCTGTGCAGAAGATTTTGCTTAGGTACATATTATACACAGCAAAATTTTTATCACAAGCCAGTGTAACGTTGTTGCAGCAATATTTTGAAACCTAGTTTAATATTACTTCAAAATCTTGTGCCTTATAACCCAAGTGCAGCATTAAAATTTTTTTAATATAAACATTTTTTAAAGGTTCCTTAAAACCCTAAAACATTTAATATATCCCTAATATTATTAAAATAATATCTTGGTTTCCAAAATGAAGTAAAATTATATAAAAGTTTCAAAAATAATAGTCATTTTATAAAAAAAAAACATAATGGAAAGTATTGTGCCAAAAAAATAAAATATTTAGTTTTTTGAACTTTATTTTGCCAGTTGATTTTAATTTGTCTTTTATTGACGAGTTTAATAAAATATTATATTTATAAGATAAATTCTTTTATTTTAATTTTTAAAAATCCATTATTGAGTGCTTCTAAAAACCTTCAATGACAACAATATCACAATTGTGTCCCACACAAATTAACAAAAAGACAGCAAACAAACAAAAATTGCACTAAGTATAATAATGTTGTTGTTCTGCACTGAGTTCTTATTGTAGATGAAAAATGGTGTACTATGAAAACTCGTGAAAATGAAATGTTTTTCATCATAAATTTTATAAAAAAGTATTTTTTTATCCTTTTCTTTTTTGTCTGAAAAAGTGCATGGACTAAAGCCCATGGTTTTAGTCTATGCACTTAAAAAAAGAATTTTAAAAAAGTGGCAGAATACATTTTCATTGTGTTGACTAAATTTTGCAGTAGTTGTTTGTATATGTTTGTATATTTCAGTATGAAATATACAAACATTGAAATATACAAACATTTGCAGTAGTTGTTTGTATATTTCAGTATGAATATTTTGTATCAAAAAGATGGCTGTTTTAGAAAATGATAAACCACTTGAATTTTTGTTTTAGAAAATGATAAACCACTTGAATTCTTGTTTTAGAAAATGATAAAGCACTTGAATTATTGGATTATCAAGAACAAGTTCTGCAGGTTATTTAAATTTAATCTTCTTTTTTTTTTAGATATTACATTATCAAAAAATTATTATATTGTTTTAGTTATATTTTATTATATTGAATCAGTTTTATTTTTATATATAACAAGACTTAACTAGATTTAATTTATTTTTTATTTAATTTAAGCTTGTTAATAATTTTGAGAACTTTACTTTATGAATCCTTAATTATTTAAATAAATATTTTACTTTATAAATTCCTTTAGATAAAATTACTTAATAAAATACTATATTAAAAGTTCAATGAAATGAGAAAGCTTGATATACAGTGGCCAAACTATTAGCGACAGTAAAAATGCTTTGTAATTTTCAAGTTTAAATAAATTTAATGAATCAATACATAACCCATAGTTATTTTAGATTGTTAGTGAACTTTATTTAGAATATAAAACAACATAATTACTTATTCATCGCTATTTATGTTTTTTATTTAAAGTTTTGACATAAAAAGTTAGCCATTAGTCTTAATATTTTGTAATTCCACTCTTTGCTCCAATAAAAGCTTTCAGGTGTCAGGGCATGCTTACTATGCAGACTTTTAGATTGTGCCGGAGACTGGGGTTGTGATACCGCTCTCTAATAAGGGTTTCTATCAGTTGTTGCTTTGTAGTTCCATTTATTTATTATGGAGTTCATATCCAGTGAATTACCCGGCCAATGCAAAACATGCACGTTTTTTTTTTTTCAGCTAAGAATGTAATAACACATCTAGAGTTCTGACACTGCTGAGTCATGCATGAACACATACTTCATCACTAGGCAACCATTCTTGGAACTGGCCAGAAGACTGTTTTCCAGTACTTGCTTGTACTGGTCATGCCTTACATTGTGGTCTTTTTCACAGACGCGACCCATACTCTTGACTGAGATCACAGACCACATTGTTTTGCTCACAGGATGTTTAATCTTTTTTACAAGGTAGTCGTGATGGAATTTATCTACCAAAATTTAAAATTTGACTCGTTTGATAAACAGACCTGTAAAATATTATCATAATTATAAAGATTTTCAGGGTTCTCATTATTTATTCTACTCAAATTTTCAATTATTTTGGTAAATCGAAAGCATAATCAATAGATAATCAAAGGGCTTGAAAAAAAGTATTATAGAAAATTTTATATTAAAAATCAAGTGCACATGCTATTTAATAAATTTATAGTCTACTTTGTTTTCATAACTGGTATTCATAAATATAGCTTTGAAATATTTATTGAAAAACCCACAACAATAACAAGAGATAGAGAAAAGAATTATTTTGCAAATGAAGAAGTGGTTTTGATAAAAGTAACATTGAAGTAATAAATAGTTAGTTCTTTAACGCTTGTTGTACTTGTTAGATGGTAGTAGAGTGGTGTGGTGATAGTAGGATTGATTGTGTGGTGGTAATGAGAGTATTGGTTCTATTTTAATTTAATTTTTATTTATTTTATTTTTGTCAACAGGCAAGATGTAAATCAACCAACAAACCTATATAGATATGCTAAAAAACTTCATAGTTTAATCAGCAAGAAAGCTTGTTGAACAAAATGAATGATGGCAATCTCAACAACTAATGAAATTTATTAGAATCTGTTTGGAGACAAAAAAACTTGTAATAGTCTGAGTAATCTTCACAAGTGGTCGCAAGAACTTTGATGTTTTAAAAATATAACTTTTCATTTTTTTTTTATTGTTAATAATACTTTAATATCTTTGGTAAAAAAAAAGTCTGACATTTTAATACATAATTTTTTAACAATAGTTTTTTTTTTTAAATAAAAAAAAGTAAAAGTATTTACTTTTTAAGTCTTTAAGCAAAATCACTTCAAATTGTCAATATTTTAATTTTAAAAGCAAATACAATTTAAATAATTCATTCAATACATAATTCAATCTAATAATAATATTATTATTTAAATTATAATTACAATGTAATACAATTTCCAATTTAGATATTAAAAAATAGCAAAAAATGTGATTAATTTTCATTTTCAAAGAATTTTTTATTGTGTAACTCTTATTGTTTGTTTAATTTTTTTAACTAAGTTTGTGAAACATAAATAAATTTCATATTTATTGTTGCCAAGTAACCGAAACATAAATAATTTCATATTTATTGTTGCCAAGAAACTTTTAGCTTAACATTTCTACATTTATTATTCTTTTATTGTAATTTTGTTGTTTTATTAAGTTTTTAGGTAAAGATTTCAGTAGTTCTTCAACTATTTCTGCTGCTGATTTAATTGAAGTATTTATTTTTTATAGTAAATTCTAGATATATTATACACTATTTCTTTTAAAAATTTATTAACAAATATATTTGGATTTAAAAATGTGTTTTAGCTTAACTTCTAATTTTTTATTTAATTTATTTAATCTAATTATTATATTTTACTTGGTTTTAGCAAATAATAGGTGATGATTACTTATCTGAAGTACAATTCAATATGGCAATAGATCTTTTGGAACATGTATGTTTGATTAAAGTGTTTGATTCTGATTAAAGTGTTTTCTAATGCCACGTATATTATTTCACGTATATTATTCACATATATTCTTTGTAAAAAAGTATATTGATGTGTTGATTTGGTTCTAACTGATTTCAAGGTGGTTTTAGGTAAATTGTTGTTAAAAGTTGATCTTCCCATAAAAATATACATTTTTTATATTTTTCCCTGCAAATTGGCTATTTGTATCATTTTTCTAAAAAAGTTTCATTATAGAAAAGTAAAAATGTTAGAAAAATGAAAAAAATTAGATTTTAACTACTGTTACAACTGTTGTCAATTTATTGCTCTGGTTTTCAATTTTACATTTGCAAAATTTACAATTTTAGTTTATTTATTGTGTTGTCATGTCATATCATTGTATGCTGTTTTGTTTTTTTTTTTGTTTTTTTTTTTTTTTGTTTTTGTTTTTTATCAAACTATACTTTAATGGTATAAAATCATTGAAAGTTGTCAGCCCTATATATACTCTACGTATGTTTATTGTGTACTATTACATAATATAAATCTATTTTGAATAAAATGTTTTGATAAAAATCATAGAAATGCTAAAAGTGATAAGACTACATAAAAATGAATCAATGACTGTAGAATAATGACATGTCAAAGTTTTAAATCTTTGATTAGAAGAGAAAATTGTTTGTCCAAAGAAAAGTCATTGAATGTTTAATAAAACAGTGTGTATTATCAACTGTGAAACATAGTGGATGTAGTGTTAAGGTGTGGGGCTGTTTTGGTTATAATGCCACAAGTAACATTGTAAAAATGTAGGAAATAATGTCAAAAGTAGTTTATTTAGACATTTTATAAAAAGTCATGCAATACCTTTGGAAAGTTAGGTTAATGAAGAGCCAATTGTTATTTTAGAAGAAAATGACCTAATCTTAAATCCAAAACATATTCATAAGAACATTGTATAAGTTGATTAACTGAGTTAATCGATGATCAAATATTGAATAGAATAATTTGGCCTCCATAATTACCAAATCTCTCCAATCAGACTTTTATTGGATGAATTAAAAGTAATGTCTATATATATATATATATATATATATATATATATATATATATATATATATATATATATATATATATATATATATATATATATATATATACACACATACATACATACATACATACATACATACATACATACATACATACATACATACATACATACATACATACATACATACATACATACATACATACATAGTCACCTTTTCAAAAAAATCAAGTTATTGATAACAATGATTACAATGTAACAGTATCTCTTCGCAGAAGGCTTTCACAGAAAGTCGTGCAATTTCACATCTTTATATGAGGACACAAAAAATAATATGTTTTAATGATTTGACCACGACATATTTTCAAAATTTAAAAACGCGCTACAAAAACTTACCTAAACTTATCTGAAAAAAAAAAAATGTAAAAAAAAAAAATCTTAACAAAAGAGAAAATAAAAAAAAATACTTAGTTAAAGCAAAAATACAAAAAAATAATTATATATAACGCAACTAAAACAAAACTCATCAAACTAAAATGCTTAGTCTATTTAATTTATGCATTAAAAAACCATTTCAATCTTTGTTTCAACATTTGTATATATTATTTATTTATTTAATATGTTGAAAAGTTAAACGTTTCTCATAAAAAATTCATAGTTATATAAATAAAATAAAAAAACATTTTATTAATACTTTTTTTCAAATTAATTAGAAGTGTTTTTTTTACTTCATTAAAAGCGTTTTGATAAAACTTATTATATGTATATAATTTTTCTATGTGTCTTTATTAACATGAGAGTATGTTTGATATACAAAAGCACATTTTTTAATTGGAATATATATATAGACACAATCAGGTTAATAACGGTAATTATTAATTTTTAATCACTTTTACACAAATAAATTAATAAATTTTAGTGTAATTTTATCTTTTGCTCTGCCAGTATCATTTTTATAGCATTTTACAAAATGCATAAAGGAAAAGTATTTGACAGATGCTGAAAAAATACAAGTTAATTTATATCGTGGCTCAGAAATCTCACCAGCACTTTATAGCAAGAAAAATTGGAAGATCTGACCATGTTGTACGAAACTACATTGCAAAAGGTGACAATTACGATGTAAAGAAAGCAACAAACAGCTACAAAGTATTAACAAATTGGCAAATTAATTGAATTCACTTCAAAGCAACCAAAAATAAAATGAATGCAACACAAATAAAAGATAAATTATTATTGCCTGTCACCAATAAACATGTTGCACATATTCTACGTACAACACCAAACATAAAGTGGAAGAAACCGCACCAAAAACCAATGTTAAAAAAACACCATAAAATTGCTAGAGTACAGTTTGCTAAAAATCATATGCATTGGACTCATGAGTGGCAAAACGTAGTATTTTCAGATAAAAAAAAGTTCAATTTAGATGGTCCGGACTCTTAAAGTTATTTCATGATCTAAGAGGAATAAATGACCCACAAACAAAACGAAATAATGGTGGAGGAAGTTTTTTCCTTTCTTTTTTTGTAATATTACTTTTTTCCACACCAAAAACCTTGAAAGTTGAACTTAACTGTCGACAGTTAAAAGTCTGTTCTGCTTGTCATCTTCATTTTTGTATCTTTGCACAAACTGCTGCATCATTTTGATTGCTCTTTCAGAATGATCATTGACAACAATTAACATTTTGGCAAAGTTTTCAAAATTCTTAAACAAGGACTGGGTGTGCCAATATTGGGGTTGAAGTGACTACCAGTCTCTCACTCTCTGATTATTTAACCCTTTCATTGAAAAAATTAGATATGAAAACTCAATAACCAAAATAGAGAGGTTTGAGGCAGGGGCAAAAATCTGCCTAGGATTCTGAAGAAATAGCTAAATTAGATATAAAGAAGGTCGTGTAAAAAGGCTGTTTTTCCTGTATAATTCATTTTGAAAGGCTTTGACTAGAAGAATATGACCTCAATTCAAAAGTATGTGGAGTATGCTTTCATAAAACTTTAAGTAATACTGGTATTTAAAAAGGATCACTTATTAGGATTGCAAAAGAAGTAGATAAATACCTTCTTCTACTAGCATGTAGGCATCGGATCATTGATCTTAGAATAGTTCATTTCTGTGAAGCAGTGGTAGCTTAGGGCCTGAAAATCCCTTATTTGTAAAATTCAAACATGTTTGAGAACCCTAAATTCGAATATGAAAAAAATAGCCTGACCTTTTTTGATTGGAAAACGGTGGAATAAATAGTTTTGAAGGAAGCTGCAAGGCAAACTTTAGATTACTGTGAGACCTATATTACTAAAATAAGCAATATGAGGAATGGCTGAAGAGAGTTGGCTGAACCAACCATGCAGTATTTCTCCCCTGCACATTTCAAATTAAAGAAAATTGGAGCTGTTTATCATGCTAGTTTTCTAGGCAAGATTTTATACTACCTCAAACTTCAGATTTTTTTGCAAGCAACTGACATTTGTGCAAGAAAATAATAATCTATGCGAAGGTTTGAAACTCATCTGTGAGTTCATAGTATGCTTTTACACAAGGTGATACCTTCAAGCACATACAGCGATTCAATCTTCTGCGTTGTATATAAATATTTAAAAAACTTTTAGTATCAGATACTTCTTCCGTTTTTTTGCGTTTATATTTTACTTAAAACTAAAGTCTCACTTAAAAAGTCATCTATTCTCAAAGGGATTCGAAACTGCCAAGACATGTTGCATTCATATTAATTAGAATGATTTAAAAAAATATTTGGACTAAATTTTTTGAATAAAATAAAAGAATAAATGCATACAAAAAAATCTAACTTTTTTGTTTTAGTTAAAACTCGCCTTCTTTGTTTTGTTGTAGTCCAAATGCAATCTACAGATTTGATAATTTATCCAAGCGCATTTAATTCCTAAGAGTTTTAGTACATGATGTCATTGATTTTTTTAAAAACAGATTTTGTAAACAAACAATAAACACAACATGTTTTGGCGGTTTAGGATCCCTTTTAGTAAAAAATTAATTATGAAATAATTGTAAGGAAAAATAAACAAGAACACCAGTTGTAATAAAAATAGCTGATAACAATGCTATCAAAACTTTGTCAAACTGAATAACAGTAAATTAAACCTATAGATAGAACATAGAAGTAGTTAGCTTGCTTTCTACCTTTGTTTTCTACTAATGCAATAAGTTTCAGTTTATATTGTTTGTTTGTCATAATTCAAATAACCATAGTAATAAATTCATATTTAACAAAAATATTCAGTTAGAACCTAGTCAAACCAACACTATGATATGTTTTAAAAAACATGTTAAAAAAATTTTTAACTAATTTTTTTTTTTAACATTTGTTTTTAACAAAAACTTTTAAAGCTATGAAAATATGATTTTATTAATAAATTTTTTGAACAGATAAATGGTAACGACTTTGTTGCCAATGATGTATGGTCTAAATGCATACTTCAAGACAGGTAATGGAGTATTATTATAAGAACTTTTATTAAAAAATAGTGTGTGCCACTTGTTGTTGAAATTGGAATCCCATTTTTATTGGTCATATCCAATTTACTTGTTGTATTATTATATTATCATTATTATTATTATTATTATTATTATTATTATTATTATTATTATTATTATTATTATTATTATTATTATTATGTATTTATATCAGTTTATATTATTTAGTACATATTTAAGTATTTACATATAAGTAATTTTTATCTTAAAATATTTAGTCTATAATTGTGTAATATAAATAATAGTATATTTATATATCAATGCAATTAATATGTAAAATAATTTTTATTATTTTTAATACTGCTTCACAATGACTTTTAATAGTTGGTTTATATAAATTCTTGTTGTTAAATCATTCTTAAATTGAACATCAAGACGTTCACAGATCTATTGGATTTAAATAATCTTTGAGAGTCTAAATCTATGAGAAGGGCAGTTTAAATCTATGAGAAGGGCAGTCCAAACCCATGATAAGGCTAGCTCAAAATTTAAAGTTGTTTCTAATTAGAAAAATCTATGAACAGTATATTTTGAACAGTGCTTTGGATCATCGTCTTGTGAGAAAATCTAGCCCAAAGCCATTTTTTCTTTTTCAAAATAACATTTAAATTATATGTAAATATACATTCTGACCCATTATGCTTTGGATGTGATGAAGTGGACCAATAGAATCACAACTGAAATATCCCTAAACTATTTCATTGCCACCAACATGTTGGCGTTTAATACTAAGAGTAAACTTTTACTTTAATTATTGAACTTGCCACAATTTGGTTCATCACTGAATAAGAATTTTGACCCATTAGCGAGAAATGTAGTCTCATTAGAGACTCAATTGGTAAAAAGTTTTGTCAAAAAAAACTGAAAATGTTTTTGTTTTCAACCTTTGCACACTACTGTGTAATGGGTATATATATTCATAATTTAATTATTAGATACTTCTTTCATTTTTTGTGTGAATATTTACTTAAAATGGAAGTCTTGCTCAAAAAATGAAATAAATACATATAAAACATCAATTTCAAAACAATTATAAAGAAAAAAAAATTTGTAGTTCTAAAAGCAGCTGACAACTATGGTTCAAACGTTGTCAAACTGAATAATAATAAATGAAAGTATTAAATATGATTTTATTAAAAAAATATTAAATATTCTTTTAATTTTTTAAATATTATTTTACTTTTCAATACAATTTTATTCAAAATTTACTTTTTACTTAAGACAACTGACATAGGAAGCACAAGCAAAAACCTGTGAGTAGAGACTAGAAGATCTAGCGTTCATCATCCTAAGCAGGAAACAATGTAACACAGGTTTACATCTTTGCAAACATAATAAATGAACAAGGGGTTGGAAGCTGGTTAGCAGAATTGTTCTGCTTAACTCTAAAGTCTTTGCCTAGGAGGCATTCTACAGGACATTAGCTGGCCTTCTAAAGTAGAAGGCCCGCTCATGGAATGAAAAAACTCTTGTGACATCACTTTAGTAGTCCAATTGTTAAATTTTTCAATTATCTATTTGTTTCTAAATATCTCAAGTTATAAATATTAGAGATTTAGTTTTCATATATTAAATGCAGTTTATTATGAATTTAGTACATTTTAATCTATTTTAAAGTCTGAAATAGGTAGAGTTTTTAAATTTTTAACCAATCCAAATATGAAGAAAATTTAGTTCCTTCAAATAAAACTGCTGTGTGAAAAAAATATCTCGTTCATACATTTATTGTTTGTGTTGATACAATGAAATGAGATGATAGTATGTGTTGAGAGAAAAAGACCAAAATTAACACAAGATTCTTACCCATCATTATTTCCTAACATTTCTTTTTATTTATCAATAAAATTTAAGGCACCTCCAACTATACACAAACACACGCAAAAAAATAATTACTTTAGGCGCGACTGGTATTAAATACTATTGATGACAGGGCGCACACTTCTTCCAGCCTTTCCAGGTTGCACTGGATGATCACGAAGACAATACACCTGACCTGAAAATAAACAACTGTGTAGCTCTTTGCATAGGAGGCCATGCTCTATCTATGAATAAGTCAATTTTTTTTAAAACTTAAATCATGCCAAAAGTAACCCTAATTATTAAATATAAAAACTATCTAGGGGATGGTTTTTTATGTTTAATAATTAGGGTTAAGATATATTAAACACCTAACTGTTTTAATATATCTTTTAGAAATGTTGGTGGTCTGTGAAGCTATCTTCTATCAGTTAAATCTTACCACTTGCAAAACTCATCAGACTTCTGGCATCTCATTCAATTTGCCTGACTTGCTTGCTTTTAGTGAGACTAATTTAAATTCTGCTTAATTTATTTTTATAATTTAATTGCAATTCCTTCTTCAGATCTCGGTGTTGATGGGTACTATCCTTTGATTCATAAAGACTTCAATAGTCGCATTCTTGGCTTGGAGGTATACATATGCATTAATTCACCAGTTTGTCTTGAAATCAGGTTTGAATCCTTTGACCATTCTTTTATGTGCATCTGCTTAGCACCTCTTCACTCTATCACCTATCTCTCTGTTCTATATTATTTTCTTAATTCCCAAGACTGCATTTTTTTAGATATAATTTTTGATCAAGTTGATCATGCTCTCTCTTTTTACCCCTCAGCCAATATTGTTGTTATTGGTGACTTAACATGCTCCTAACACAACTGACTCTTCTGGCACTAAAGCCTATAATTTCACTCTTTTTCATTTCCAGTAACTTCTGGCATTAGTCTACATTAATGATCATCTCAGCAACCTTGCATCTAAAGTAGTTTTTTTTGCTGATTACTCAACTTTATACTCCTGTCTTGACAAAAAGATTTCTCTTTTCGATTGCTTAGAACAGGGAGCCGATATTGAATTCGATCTTACTTCTGTAACAGATTGGGGCTGGTTCTTCTAATGATGTTTTGTCAAATGCATTGTCAATGTAGTTGGACCTGTTTTATTTGCTAAGCTTGAGCCTCTTTCTCATCATCGTAAAGTTGCATCTCTTTCTCTTTTCTACAAATACTATCATGGCGAAGCCAAGGGCCAGGGTTAACAAGCAATCTTAAGGTGAAGCCAAGAGCCAGGGTTAACAAGCATCTGGTTTCCCTAAGTGTAAAAGAAAAAAGATTTAAAGGATCAAAGAAACCTCTGACTCTCTTGAAGAAAAGACCACTAACCATTCTTTTCTCAGTTGATAAAATGTCTACTGTTGAGACTGTGTCAAACAGCAAAACCAATCATCAATCAGTTCAAGCAGCTCCAGAGCATTTCGAGACTAAACATTGGGCTTCAGTTATGATTTTTGTATTCTGACAGTCTCAAAATGCCTCCAATTCTCATCATTCTTGTCAGAAATAGACACTAATAAGTACATTTAAATCCTTAAGAATGTCAAGCGCTAGATCAATACCCGGTATCAAAAATGTGGTAGTGGTGTGGTGGTAGAGCGCTCGCTTCATAAACGAGTGGTTTGGAGTTCGATCCTCACCACGTCCCTGGTAGTACCGCGCTCAACTCGTTTCTCCGCGCAGCGGCCTTGTTCATCAAGGTTCGTGTTTCGGAGTTATAGAGTTGAGAGAGGGTTATAGCCACAAATAAGTAGCCTCCTCGTCTGTAGTGGCCTTCTTGGCCTTGAGGAGGTGAATTAAAATAAAAAAATAAAAAATAAAAATACCTGTTATTCTCCAAAAGACAATATTGTGTTTCAGTAAGATGGAGCACCACCACATACATCCCATTAGGCCAAGTGGTGGCTCTAGGAAAATCTGCTAAAACACTGTTCAAAAGAGTTTTGACAATCTGGATTTCCAGATTTGTCACCCCTTGACTATTCAATCTGGGTGTTAAGAGTTATGTTGCCCAAAAAATGCCCAAAGGCTATATTCAGACTACCTTTTTCAGGCTCAGAAGTCGAAGCTGTGATTGATGCCTTTAATGTCACACATTTTTTATATACATATCTGCGTTTAAAGAATTATGAATAATCTATGGTTTACCTTTTAGGCCACAGGAGCATATTGCCTACCATATAAGAAACTTGGGAGCAAATTTCTCAGTTTGAATATACTAGATTTTTTGGCACCTATCTACTTTTCGACTGATACAAATATTGGTGGCCTGGCAATTGTTAAAAGTCCTTTTTGTAATAGTTTTCATCGTCTGCAATTATGCCCAAGTTTTCTTGGTTTATTTCCACTAATGGGTTGCTTTGAAGTTTTATTTTTATTATATGCTTTTCTACGATATTCTTGACATAATTACTTTTCATCAAAGTTCGGCTACATTTAAATATTCTCGTAAGATCTCTCTAGAACTGGCATGGGTTTGCCTTTATGGAGCGAATGATAGGTTTTGCTTTATATTTCTCTCTAAATTCTTTATTTTTTCCACTCTTTCCCATCCTTTCAATTCAATATTTTTAATTTTTTTTTTTTTATTTAGATGGGATGAGTCAGTCCAAATAGATATTTTAGCAGTTGTCTCCCAGAAAATGTTTTATAAATGTCTTAAGTATTGTAAAAACTCAGGTGATTAATTCTTTTTTTTTAATTTAATTTATATTACTTGCATTGAAAAATTATATAAAAGAGTGTTTATTACATATTGTTATTATATAGATAATAAATTTTATAATTACATAAGTTTATTTTCATGTTGACAAATTATTACTTGTTAGAATGGGTTTGAAAAATATTTAATAATATTTGATTTCATATTATAGTTAAGCAAATTTTTTCATGATTATTTTGTTGTTCAAGGTTATATATTTTTTAATAAGTATCTATGATTGATTGTCATTCATCTATAACTGTTTGTCATCCATATATGATTGATTGTCATTCATCTATGATTGTTTTTCATTCATCTATGATTGATTGTCATTTATCTATGATTTATCACGTTTTAAACTTACTGTGAAAATTGGAAAATTATATTTTAGGCTTTGAAATAATTTTTTCTTTTTTTTTAATCTTGAATAATACATTTATATATATATATATATATATATATATATATATATATATATATATATATATATATATATATATATATATATATATATATATATATATATATATATATATATTTTCAATATTGAACGTATTCTTTTTAGATTTCATTTATGATTTACTGTTATACTTCTTTTTGCTTTTTTACATAATATTATGTTGAAAAGAAATTTCACCTATAGATATTTTTTTTGGACTCATTTAATATTGATCTTTTATTGTATATTTACAATGATGCACTTTTTTTTTAACTGTTTTTCTTTTTAACTGTTTGCTAATTCTGCAAACTCTTAGGTTGTTAGTGAAATAATTTTTTTTTAGAATTTTGTAGAAATGTTTTTATAAAGTTTTTACGCCAACAATTAAAAACTAAAATAAACAATAATAAACACATAAAAAAGGTAAAAAACTACTACATCTGTCCAACAACATCTGTGAAGTAGTGAAATAACATCCGCACATTTTTGTCCAAGATCATCCACTTTTTTTCTTTACTGAATTAATATCTGTCCAACAACATCCAAAATTTCATTGATGTCTAATAACATCTTTAGAAAGATGTAACTACATCCTGGAGATTTTCTCTATGCATAACTACATCTGCTTAAAATAATGCATTATAAAATAAAATAAGTTTCTGGCCGTAGTTACATCCGAAAAAAATCAGATGTGTAACTACATCTGGTTAAAATAATGCATTATTAAAAAAAAAATTCCGGATGTAGTTACATATATAAGTTACAAATGTAATTGTTATATTATATAAGTGTTGCTACACCGACTAACAAATAGCCTGGGTGCGGATTCACAAAACTTTTGTAACTCTTGTGTAACTTACGGAAATCGTAAGCAAATTTATTGTTTCGTAACTTTTTGGTATTCACAAACATTTTGCAACGTTTGCATAAAGTTAAGTTTGTGCAAAAGCTACTTGCGCAAAAAACTAAAGATTTTTTGCATAAGTAAAGCGTAGTTTAAGTTAAATTATAAAAAAATGAGATATCGTTCATTTACATTTTAACTAAAATAAACAAGGTAGTATAAATGTATCAATAGAGCAACTATTATATATACTCAACTACTTTTGCAATTACTATAGCAACTTTTTTTGTATGTTTAAATCTAAGAAAATTGGTTAATTAGTAAAAATAAATTTAAACTTGAAAAAAAAATAATGAAATTAAATATAATCAATATTTTAAGAAATTATAGATACATAAAAAATCTCTATGAAAATATGCTTTATTTTAGACTCAGATTGACATACTTTAAAAAAAAAAAATTTTTTCAATATTATGAACTTTTACCCTGACTTTTAGACTCAGATTGACATACTTTAAAAAAAAAATTTTTTTCAATATTATGAACTTTTACCCCTGAGAAATGGAATAATAAATCGTATTGTTAGTTCAGCAACAAAAAAATTTTGTTGTTTTTATGCAACTATTAAAAGCACTATTTTAAAGGAGTTATTTTTTTAGAAACTAATTAAAATGTTAGTTGGGGCTTTCAATGATTTCTAATCAAGTTGAATGAAAACTGCTATTAGAATATTAATTACTACCTGTAATAAGTATTTATTAACTGCAATAAATTTAATAACATCTATTTAACAACTACAATAAATTAAGGTGGTCAAGTTTCTAAAATCGTTTATTTTCAACAAATATTATTAAAAAATTGTTTTAGAAAAAAAAAGGAAATAAAAATTTCACATTTGAACACTAGTTTTGTGTCACAAACCATAAAAAAGCCAGGAGATTCATCGATAGGTATTGAGATAATGGTAGTTTCTATGAAAGCTCAAACTTTCAGTGTTTACTTATATTATAACAAGATACTCATTGAAGTAAAATCATTAACTTAGCTTAAAGTATGAAGATGTTGTAGCATAAACAACTATTTAGCCAAAATTTATCCCAAAATCGCTCACTTTAGAACACACCATAACTCTGCTCAAGAATAAAGTCAAAAAAATTTATTGCTTCAATGATTTTATCATATATATTATTACAATTGCACAAAATTTCAAAGCACTACAACAAGTAAGTTATTTAAGTTATTTATGCTAAAAATTTAAAGTTATGCATGCTAAAAATAGCACTCTGAGAAAAAAACTATTTAAAATAATTAAAATTGAAAAAAATAAGTTAAAATAATAAAATAAACTTTGATTTTATATCTAAAGATTTGTTATCACTCCTCAATGTAAGAGCAGAAGTCTAATTTTATAAAAGCAGTCGTCTAAACTTATAAAAGTTTTTTATAAGCTTTACTTAACTGTTTAAGTTTCATACAAAAATTAATATATTTAGCAAAACTGAAAAATTTTAAAATTATAAATAAAATATTCTATAAAATGTAAAAATTCTGGTAACCTGTTTCAAATTTCAATAAAAATATCATTTGGAAGATTGAATTAAACTAAAATCACTAAAAACATCATCAAACATCCAGCATCATAAGTTATCTCATTTTATTTATCTTGATTAATTTAATCTTTTCATTTTGCTCTAATTTGTTTCCAATGTTGGTTTAATTTATCACTTGATTTTTTTGCTATATTTTGAATTTTTTATTAGTTCTAAATAAATATTTAGTTGAATTTTTTATTAGTTCTAAATAAATATTTAGTTAACCACTTTATCTTTTAAGCACCATTTTTAAATTTTTGCAATTAAAGAAATTTTATTGTTTTGAGTTTTTTCAAGGCGTCTTTCAAAATGTTTTTTTCAGATAAATCAATGAATATTAGCTTGATTATGTAATTAGAACAGGCTGTCTTGGTTTTTCTACTCGCACATGTTTCAATAATATTGTCTGCTTAAAATTTACACCATGTATTAATAGTTCCACAACACATTGAATGTCTTCATTCTGAAAATGATGCCTCAAATTCACAAAACCACAGCTTTTGTAATGTCCTTTTCTAATTTCATGTATTGCAATTACTAAATATTTTTTTTGATTGAAAAATTTTCATTTGAAACTTTTTTACTGGTATAGAACTTCATCTTTTATAAACACTCAGTGCACTTAAATAGCAACAAAGAACTTAAATTTTTTTTTTTATATATGCTATCTATATTCATGTTAATAGACTTCTCACAGTCAGGGCATGCTCAAACAAAGGCAAGAGATTGTATAATAATATCAACATCAATTAAAAGATTATTGTGAGGTTGTGGAAAAGCTTCATCATCGACAATGAGATAGTTGATTGAGATTGTAAATTTAGGCACAAAAAAAAGAATAATGATTCTTCATTCATATTTCAAAAAAAAAATGGCAATCTTGATTTTCGTCATCCTTTTTAAAAAAAAACTCAAGAAGCACAAGTTTTTGTTCTCCTTAAAACATCAGCACAGTAAAGTGGTTTAGTTATATAATTTTTAATGCAAAAAAAACCAAACTATCACTCAGTATTTTTTAAAACCTTATTTTGGAAAATGATTATGCCTTTGTTAAGGAACCTATGCCTTTGTTAAGGAGCAATTCACTTTAGAACATTATTTTAAATTAAAAAATCAAAGCATTTAGACCATACTTTTAGATTTTGATATTTTTGACCACCTGAAATACAACTTCGAAAAAATACGACTTCACTATATATATATATATATATATATATATATATATATATATATATATATATATATATATATATATATATATATATATATATATATATATATATATATATATATATATATATATATTGAATTATATTTAAGTTAAAAAGGTAATACAAAACTCAATTAACTGAGAATAATTATATCAAATTTTTTATGAATTTAATTCTCCAAGTCATACATTATAAATATATTTTATTAAACATAAAACTACTTAACTTGATCTTTTAATAAACATTTTTTGAACCTAATATTGGGAATATTACCTTTTCCCTTCAAATTAAAAGTTTGAGTAGCACCAATTTACAGCTTATTTATTTGTAAGCTCATGCTGACAAACATTCTTTATTAGCAAACATTATTCATTATTAATAGAATATAATAAGAAGTTTGTTAGAACTTGCATAGAATTTCTGCCATCTTTTATTCAACAAATTGATAAAACATATAGATTATTTAGTAAATAACATTTTAACAGAGTATGTAGTTACTACTGCAAAATGACATTACAGACTAATTAGTAAACAACATTTTAACAAAGTATGTAGTTATTACTGCAAAAGAAACTAGTTATAAATTGAAAAAATACTTCTTATTAAGCTTTAGCAGTTTAATCAAAGTACTTTAATCTATAGGTTATAGTTCCTTAGGCAGTAATATATTACTGCAAAAGAAACTATAGCCTATAGATTAAACTACTTTGATTAGACTGCTAGGGTTTAATAAGAAGTATTTCTTTAAATTATACATTTTAACAGCGTATGTAGTTATTAATATCTATATACTCTGTTAAAATGTTGTTTACTGGTTAGTCTATGATTTCATTTTTTATGTATACTTTATGTATAGGTATGCCTACATTTGTAATAAACTTTGTAAAATATA